GTAAAAAAAATACAAAGATCAATACAAAAAAAATTGACAAAAATATCCTTAGTGCTCTAGTCTTGAAACTGCTCACGGGTCTCCTCCTTCATGGCCACTCCGATGTGGTTAACTGTCCCTGGAAGATCCTGCACGGAGGCCCTCAGCCCTCTGAGTGGTACTATGGGGAGGCGCTGTGGGCGCAGGGCCTCATGGGTGATCACCAGACTACTTCAGAGATGTGCCTTTGATAGGAATTATGATGTGCTGGCCCCATCTTTCCGGGCTTTCCCCTTTTTGCTTGATTCCTGGCTGGTGGTGTGAGCTGTCCACTCTGCCCCACCCACCACCACTTAATACCATAAGTCCAAAGCAGTGGAGTCAGCTGACCCTGCACTGGGCCTTCCAAAACCATAAGCCAGACCCCTTTCCTTTACAGATTAACTTGGGTTGTTTTGTTAGACCGACAGAAAGTGGCACACAGGTCTAAGGCAGGACTGTCAACTCGGCTCTGCTAAAGTGAGGCCTGGATGATGTGCATGCATCGGTGAGATGTGAGAGGAGACCCACGTGTTAGCTCTCTAATGTTGGTGCTCAATTATCTTCCACATTTCCTGAGTTCTCAGTGGACACAAAGCAAATGGCAGAAACTCACCTCTGTTGTTCAAGCACTGAAATTTGGGGGATGCTTTTCACTTTAGCAAACCCGGTATAAGCTGCCCATACTGAATATTAGTTTAAAAAAATCAATTAGTAATAATTTCCAAAACATAATTATGTACATCGGCTCTGAGAGCAAGAACAGAGAGTGAGCCCTGACGGTGGCTCCGGCCACTGCGCTCTAAGATCTGCAGCCACGTGACTTCTCAGCACCTCTCTTGAAACTGAGATCAAACACAGAACACTTCAGAAAAAGAACAGAACAGGTCCAGCGGAGGAGGACACACAAGGCTGCTGAGAGCCACAGTGGCTGCCAACTTCTCTAAGCCTGTGGTTCTCAACACCCAGTGCCCCACAGCCCAACCTTGAAGGCAGGATCCAGGCATCCAGCTGCTCCCCTGTCTCCCTCAGTGATGCGGGTGGGCAGGTCTGAGAACTGTGTCTTCACATGATGGGCTTCCTATGTTTCCAAATGCAGCCCCAGAACATAAAATATTTTAGGCAAAAAAGAAATGCACACAATAACAGCGCCCTTGATCAGCAAGGCCATGTAGCAGAACAGCTACAGAACCCTGGAGGCCTCTTCAAGAACACACCCTGCTGGGTCAGAAACCCAAGTCTTTTAGGAACCAAGAGAGAAAGGTTCCTGGGCCGCACACATCTCACTTCTGAGAACCCTGGAGTCTCCGTGCACCTTGGAAGATGAGCACACGAGCTTCTACTTAACCGTGCCGTGACCTCAGCAGGCACAAGAGCAGCGTGAGGCAGTGCGAAGACAGCTTCCTCTTACCCTCACACCAGTCCCACGAGCAAGCATTGCTGTTATGTCACTTTACAGGCTGGGTAATTCAGACTACGAGCACAATGACCCGCTCTCTGTCACATGCTTATGTGTGTGGTGAGGCCTGAAAAGTAAAGAAGTCCCACATCGCCCCCACAAAATGTGAAGCAAAATTGAGGACCACCTGACTTAAAACGACTCCCCCATGTCTCTCCCACTGTCACAAAGCCCACTCTGGAAATCAGTTCAGCCACTCAGAAGAACCTGCCTTATTCATAGTGGACCACGGAGCTTCATTTTGACAAATGCAAAAACAGGTAATTATTGTTTAACTGTTTCTAGAGTCTGGCAGCATGCTACACCTCCAAAGGTTAAACAGCATTCATCTAACTCCCCAGGGAGGAGTTGGGAACTTCCCGGGCTCTAGTTTCTACAGATGCAAAGGGAGGTGGGCAGCTTAAGTGACAGGGCATCCAGACCACAGCACGGCGATGAGGCTGTGCAATGACAGGACGGTATTTTCAAGTCTCTCAGGTCTCCAAGGAGACACATGAGTGGCCAGCTGGCCTTCCTTCCTCACGGCTGAGGCGCACTGGGCTTTGCAGCCTTGTTAGCGGCTCTCCTCCCTGGCCAGATCTTGGCTGACTCTGGTGCTCTATCAGAGCCGAGCTTTACAGCAACTGCATCGGTATCATGTTGCTTCAAATACATCTTCACTGCCCTTTGAAGCACTGCCAGCCTCGTGAATAAAGGCCTTCCTTCAGTACACTGGAGAGCAATTGCTCAGCCAGTCACCAAATTATCGGTTATCACAGGCACAGGCAAGCTGCACGGAGCTGCATTAAAAGGCCTCTCAACCTGCCCCGCTACTAAGCCTAATTCGGGCCTTTATTCTACCTTCACTTGAGAGCGGAAGAGTGGGAAGCCCACTTTCCAGCAGAAGGCCTTTGTCAAGTGTCACACTCATTAAGCATTTCAGATAGAACTGCAGGTCATTATGTATCATCTGGTTTGATGTAGTCATTTTGCTGATAACCCAGTCCTTTACAAAAACTGACAATAGCCTTGTAGATCCATTTGGCAAATTCAGCTTCAAATATCAGAAAAGAAAGCAAAACATAATAGCTCATTTTAGGGACTTGCAAGATGACGACCATAACTGCCAATAATAAAATAGCTACTGCTTGCGAGCTTCTTAGCGTGGGAAGGGTGCTGTGTGCTGAGTGCTCTGGGAATGCCATCTCCCTTAGATTTTATATAAAAACCATCGAAGGCAGGCCATCATCAGGTTTCACCCATTCTAAATCATTCTGCGTTTCATTCCTTGCTCTGCTTAAAATGAGTGGACACCATACAAGCAATCAACTTTCTGCGGGTTTACGGGGTAGTTTTTCTCCGTGAGTCCTACAGAAAACAATGCTGTCTCAAGTCTGGCGTTGCCTTGGCCTCATCTTGTGGGTGACACAAGTCTGGACACTCAGTCCCCATGCTCCCTGCACGTGTGTGATGTCAGGCCCCCAGATGGTCCACTCCACTGTCTCACGTCACAAGCAAACCCTCATTCATTCACTCCTTGACATCCATTATCAGTGAGTCACCATACCAGGAAGTGACAGAGAAAGCTTTTAAACCAGCTCATCGCGGACTCTGGGTACCCGATGAACTAGAACGTTCAGCGTTTTTTCCTTTCTTCAGCTTTGATTCATATACATTAATTGTACAAAGTAACTGTCGTTATCTTCTGTTACACGCACATCGTGACTTTGATCGTACCTCCTCCCCACACCATCCTGTCGTTATTCTGTCTCCCTGCTTCCCTCTTGTTTCCTTTTTCATCCCAAACACTTCCTCTGCCACTCAAGGGTCCATTTTCTCTTTCATGCCTCGTTTTTCACGTGAGAGGAATGTGGCATCTCTCTTTCTGAATTGGCTTATTTTGCTCAACGTCGTCTTCACTGCAGACCATTTTCCCGCAAACGTCCTGATTTTGTTCTCTTTTACAGCCCATCAGTACTCCAGCATGGACCTACACTCTTGGCGTTACCGACTACTCCACTCATGAGCCCTGGGCTGGCTCCGAAGACGGTGCTGGCATCTCTACTGCATGCCGACCTGTTGTCCTTAGGTACGTACCCAGGAATGGGATCAGCCTCACAGATCTGATGGGCCCTGGAATTCCTTTGAGGGTCCCCCTGCTCCCCAAAGGCAGCTTGTTGTCTTTCCCCTAGCGAAATGTTCCTCCACAACAGGGTAAGAAGCACTTAAGTCACAGTTTCGGGATGGCAGCAGGCAGACTCTGAAGACTGCTCCTAATGATGACCCTCAGCTCCCATTACTCTCCTTTGGGAAGAACTCGTGATTTGCTTGTGACCCACAGGATATGGTAAAGTGATGGGATATGACTTTTGCGATTAGGCTAACTGTGGCTGCCTTCCTGTTAATTGTTGGCGTCCTAAAACATATGCCCACTTTGGAGAGACCCAAGTGCAAGAAACTGTGGGTTGTCTGGACCCTAGATTAACCCCCCCAACAAGAAGTGATTTGGCCAAAAACCACTTAAATAAGCTTGGAGGGGGATCCCTCTCTCCAGGGGAGGCTGGGCTGTCTGAGGTGAGCTGCCAGAGAAAGCCCAACTCAGGCTGATCCCTTACATTGGGATTTATGAGGGAGCCCTTGAGTGGCTGGCCCAGACAGAATGCCCAGCTTCTTGACCCACAGAAACTGAGGCACTAAACATGTGCTAAGTGGATGTGACAATTTCTTGCTCAAAAATAGCTATGTACCTGGGCTGGAGAGGCGCTTGGTGGTTAAGTGCTTGCCACCCAAGTGTGAGGGCTGAAATTTAGATTTCCAGAACTCAGGTAAATGTTGGATGGGCTCCATGGCCTGTCTGAACTCAAGCCTCAGAAGGCAGACATGGGGGGTTCCAAGAGCAAGCTGGGTAGGTAGGAAACCACTCTTCTTTCTTCTCTCTCTCTCTCTCCCTTTTCTTTTCTTTTCTTTTTTTTTTCTTTGGTTTTTTGAGACAAGGTTTCTCTGTGTAGCCCTGGCTGTCCTGGAACTCACTCTGTAGACCAGGCTGGCCTCGAACTCAGAGATGTGCCTGCCTCTGCCTCCTGAGTGCTGGGATTAACATGTACCACCACTGCCAGGCAGGAAAGACTAGCCATGTTTCAAGCTCTAGGTTTTATTCAGAGATCCTGACTGACTGAACCTGAGAGAAGAGCCATCAAGGATGACTCTCCACATCAATCTTGGGCTTCCACATGCCTGTACGTGTGTGTGTGTGTGTGTGTGTGTGTGTGTGTGTGTGTGTGTGTGTGTGTGTTCCCAAATTCACATGCTGGAACTAAGACTCACTGTTATAGCTCTAAGTGTGTGGCCTGAGGCAGGTGGTGGTCAATGAGACAGCTGTTATGAATGGGATTCATACCCTTGTGATCCTACAAGATGGAGGCTGAGGCGAAGATCACACACTTTTAACCCTTTGCTGTCTGTGATGTCTATGATAGGAAGACACAGAAAGAGCACAGCAGCTTGGGAGCAGCGCAGCCTTCAGGAAGTGAATGCGGCCAGCGCCTTCATCCGGGACCTCTCAGCCTTCAGGAAGTGAATGCGGCCAGCGCCTTCATCCGGGACCTCTCAGCCTTCAGGAAGTGAATGCGGCCAGCGCCTTCATCCGGGACCTCTCAGCCTTCAGGAAGTGAATGCGGCCAGCGCCTTCATCCGGGACCTCTCAGCCTTCAGGAAGTGAATGCGGCCAGCGCCTTCATCCGGGACCTCTCAGCCTTCAGGAAGTGAATGTGACCAGCACCTTCATCTAGGACCTCTCAGCCTTCAGAGCTGCAGGAAGGTTCTAATAATGTGCCCATTGCCAGACACTTTGTTATAGCAGCTCAAACAGACTGAGATAATTAAAGGTAATGTTTTTGTGTAGCTGGAGTCAGCTCCCGCCAAGCCCCAGAAGTCCCGGAACCCACTTATAAAGTAAACACAGACTCTTATATTATTTAAACTGTTTGGCCTAATGGCTCAGGCTTCTAGCTATCTAGTTCTTATATCTTAAATCAACTCATTTCTATTCATCTATAAGTTACCACGTGGCTTGTGGCTTCCCAGTATCTTAACATCTGCTTCTCATCATGGTAGCTGGCAGCATCTCTCTGACTCAGCCTTCTACTTCCCAGGATTCTCCTCTCTGTCTTCCTGCCTGGCTACTGGCCAATCAGTGTTTTATTTATTAACCAATCAGAGCAACACATTTAACATACAGACCATCCCACAGCATTTTTGTGTGTCACAGACCTTTGTGAGGCCTTGAATGGCTGTAATTAAAAATTCTAATGGTGAATTCAACCTCTTGGATATAATAAAGAAATGATAGCTATAGTTTATTTAGTGTCCACTGGAGGTCAGGTAAATTCTGACATACACTGGTGAAATCATGGCCACATCTTCCATATCGCAATTCATTTGTATAATTACTATGTTCACATGAAATACTAAATGACAATTCCATTTACTGATTAGAAAAAAGTTTGGTGGGCTTTCCTACTTCATTGTTTAACCACTAGTCCTTCCCACCCTTTTCGTCTACAGAACGCTGCTTCTCCCCTGAGGCCAGTCATAGTATCCTGCTGGGTCTGTCTTTATACATCCAAACCCGTTACAGGGCTGATCAGAGGCAGGCCACCAAGTCAGGCAGCAGAGAGAACAATGGGAATGCTGGGGTTCTAGAGCTGGAGTCAGAAGCAATATCTCCAGGGCCAAACCCCTGCTGCGTGCCAAGCAGCTACTCCACCAAGTAAGTCAATGGATGGAGGCCGAGAAAGAAGCAAGAGACGGAAGGAAGGAGGAGTTATTCCCCATCAAGGCTGCAGCTCCTGAGGTCTCAGTGCATTCCTCATGGGGGGAGGGGTCCCATCAAGGCTGTGGCTCCTGAGGTCTCAGTGCATTCCCCATGCATACACTATGGGGCCACAGAAGTCTTGCTGTGTCTTACTTTGGAATTGAAGAAAGCAATTTATCTTTGGGTACCTCCAAACAAACAGACTTAAGAACTCTTGACCTACATCATTGATACCTTTAACTATATGGGCCTCTCAGAGTTGCTTTAAAGTTATTTTAAAACAACCACTTAGTTTCCAAATTATACCACACCCGGTTGAATGCTGAAACCCAGACCATTGACGTGAGAAGGACATTTACATTGTGGGATCTGAATGTTACTTGTGAGGTAGCTGTACCACGGAGAAGGACATCCCTTTCCAAGTGAAGGTCTACACCAGAATTCCCTGAAACCTGCTCTTTTTTATTATTCCAGTGAGCACTGTCATACACCAGTACTCTAAGAGGCCAGAAAGTCCCAGAGGCTACAAGAATTTGACCTTTGTTTTAAGGATTTCTCACACATTTGTTATTTCCCAAAGGCCTGTAAGTAACTGGGTTGACTAATAATTCATAATAATTAACCCAGTTAATTTAACTTCATCCATAGAAATGTCTGCCCATTGTCCATTCCCAAAATAAGCACACTGAAACACATGGTCATCATTGTTAGATTAATATCAAGTAAAGGGACTGTGTTAATTCACCAACAGTCTTGTACTATGGTTCAATTTAAGTTCTAGATTATATAGTATTTGCTACACACACACACACAAATGATTAAACTATAAAAAAATCAACAAAACTCTTCAATTTCCAATTCATGTGTGACTTTTAATCATAAAAATGATGATGCATACAGAAGAAGATATGGAAATACAGAGAAGCAGAAGGAAAACTACTACTCATCTTTCAGTCTGAAATGGAGTAAGTGGTGGCCTTGAATTTGTAACCTTTGGCCCGCTTTTTATCAACTTGTTAGTATTACTGAGCAGCTAACATTTAATGTCCCAAAGAAAACAATCCTTAGTAGGTTAACTAGCAACCCAGATATGCTCCTACTTCCCTCCACTCAGCCCTCTGCCTGCTCTCAAAATGATTGTCTGAGATACTCTGGAGCCAGGCTCATCAACCACTGTTGCCAGGGGCCCTTGATTTACAGCGCAAAATTTAAGGATACCTGGGTCTCCTCGTCACTTTGAAACTAGACTGGATCTCCTGAGGTCTTCTTGCACAGATCAGCTCACCTGAAATCTCTATAGCAACAGAACTGCACAGACATCCTTGGAATAAATAAACCCTGCAAAGCAAGAGGAGACTGTGGCCCAAGGGCACAGATTGCAACACCAGCTCTGAGTCTGATTGTGTGGCAGCTGCAGGGAGTGAGGGGGGGATGCTCTCTGTGTCCTCAGGACGGAAGTGCCGTGTCCACACTGAGAAACAAGTCTACAGTGCCAAACCACCTGGAGACTTCTCTCGTTCCTTAAAACCGTAAGGCTTCATTTAGACACTGTGGCCTTCTGAGTAGTCTCTCAAAAAAAATTACCCTCAAGAGGAAATAAAAGGACTGATCAAAAAAAAAAAATTAACCTGGAGTCAGACAGCTGTGAACGACCGTCATCTATGAGTTTCTTAATGTACCTCTTGAACACAAATGGATTATATCCACCAACAATAAACCATATTCTTCACTATTTTCCTTTCTAGGAAAGCTATGAGCTTGTTTTAAGCCAAGTCTGATTCTCACCAGATCTCTGGACCAACATAAATGGGAAGACTCTGGGCAGTAGCCCAAGACCCACGCTTTCTTTGTAGACTGAAGTGGACTACACACGTCTGCCATCGGGAAATAAAGACACCTAGCTAATGATGCTATTTAAATCATTAGATCAGTTCCTTCCTCGGGTGTATGGAGTCAGCTCATGCTGGCTCCTCAAAGGCAATTCATAACACCTTGTCCCCACCAGATGCTATGCTAATAGGTTGACACTGGCAAATGTTATGCTAATAGGTAGACACTGGCAAATAAACAAAGGAAGAATTCAGCTTTCTTCCAGATAGGGAGTTGTTAAATATCCATCATGATCCTATCCATTCATTCTACCTTCTAAATAGTCTTTATTGAAGTCTAATGTCTGCTAGCTGGACTTTATGATAAGCCCTCAATTGCATAAACAATATACAGTCTGTGTTATGAACATCTGGTTCTCTAAAACATGTGGGCCAATCACTACCACCACCTTGGATATACTTCTTTTCTAGCAGAATGAGATGGTCTGTAATGATACCAGAACCTTAAGAGATTCTAGCAAGTTCTGGAAGACAGTGAAGTGGAACTTTTTCTTGTTTTGATTTTACAGGGGATTGAAATGCAGGGTCTCTACATCTAAGTACATACTCTGCTTACTGAAGCTGTCGTCCCTTTTTAAAACAGGACTGAACCTAACAGGGCCAGTTACTTTTTGCTTTTTTCCAGGGACTGGTTTGCTAAGGCCTCTGCCCCATATTACCCCACCATCCTATGTTGGCTCATGTCTGGCTTCAATCAGACCTTCAGGAAGTATGTCCAGTCCAGTAGCCAATCAGGGTCCTACCTGGCCACAAGTAGGAACTATTCTTCCTATTTTCAGTCAAATAGACCCTGACACAGCAGACAGACCCCTGACACAGCAGACAGACCCTGGACACAGCAGACAGACCCCAGACACAGCAGACAGACCCCAGACACAGCAACCACAGTTGCTGACCAGATGTCATGGGCCAATCATAAAATGATTCCTGTACCAATAAGAGTCTATACCCAACTACCTCAAAGTACACTTAACCACAGCTGTAATTCCCCTAATCTTGCTTTAAAGGAGCCTGTAAGCTTCTCTCAGGGTGGCCATTTGCCACTTAGTCAGCTGGTTTGACCCCTGCATGTTGGAAATTTTTAGTAAAATGCTCTTGTTGATTGCATACGTGACTGGTGGTCTTTTATGGAACTTCTTTGGAACCCTAACACTTACGTACTAGAGCCTCCGAGACCACAATGAAGTAGGACTTCAGAGAACTGAGACATGATTGAAATGTGTGGTTGGTGATCCTGCAGAGGCTCACTTATTCAACAGCTTATTGTGAAGGTTATCTTCAACTTGCAGGGATCACAAGTGTGCACTACCACTACCGGATTTTTGTTTTTGTTTGTTTTTAATGTAGGTTCTAAGGATGGAACTCCAGTCTTCGTGTCTGCAAGGCAAGCATTTTACTAAGTTTTCTCCCTAGACACCCTTGCGCTGGGTTCTTGGGGGGAAACTGATAATTCATCAGAAACTTCCCTCTTTTCTAACGCATGCTCTTAATACAGTAAGTTCCCCTGCAACACTGCATGAGCTGTGCCCTACAAATCTCCATGTGTTCTATTTTCATGTTCACGTACCATAACACATTCTAAACTTTCCCTTAAGAATTCCTCTTGGACTCATAGGTTATAGAGAAGAAAGAGAGTTATTTATAGTTTCCAAGTATTAGGTCAGTTTCCTGTTTTTCAGAATTCACTTCTAATTTAATTTCATTATGGTCACAAAATTATACTGTATATGATTTTAGTTCTTTCAAATCTTTTGAGGTTTGTTTTATGGTCTAGAATAGAATGTACTTCTTATGTGTCTTTTATCCTGCATTTGTACGCATTACAGTTTTAAGAATTTTTTGTTTTTTTGAGAAAGGGTTTCTCTGTGTAGCTTTGGCTCTCCTGGAACTCACTAGGCTGGCCTTGAACTCATAGGCATCTTCTTACCTCTGCTGCCCAAATGCTGAGATTAAAGGTATGCATCGCCATCGCCTAAGAATTTCATTTTTAATTATCCACAGTTTGTATAGATTTTTGCTAATCTAGATATTACATTAACTATATGTTACCTTATCTTCATCTACCAGTGTCCTCCTAGTTCAAATGAAATACAGATGTCTTGACCTTTATATCTTTCTTTCCTCCTCTTTAATTATTTGAGATTTTTTTCTATGCACACTAATATCAGATACTATACTTTTTGTTTCAACCATCAAACATAAAGTAGTAAATTCAAGAGAGGGAAGACGATTCTATTTATACACAATTTTTGTGCCACATAGCCTGCCTTCTTTCCTGACACTCTAAGGTTCCTTCTTTTATTATTAGGATAACTCTTTTCAGGCATTATCTTCGGGCGGGTCTACTGGGACATATTCTTCCTGCTGCCACCATCTGAGTCTTGACTTGGGACTCCTTACTGAAGTATATGTTCTCTGGCTATACTGAAGTATATGTTCTCTGGCTATACTGAAGTATATGTCCTCTGGCTATACTGAAGTATATGTTCTCTGGCTATACTGAAGGATATGTTCTCTGGCTATACTGAAGGATATGTTCTCTGGCTATACTGAAGTATATGTTCTCTGGCTATACTGAAGTATATGTTCTCTGGCTATGGAAGCTGGAGTGACAGCTCTTTGAGCAACTGAAAAACATTTTGCTACTCTTCTGCCTCTGTGGTTTCTCAGCAGAGATTATTTTCTCGCTGGGCCTATTTTTTCCTTTGTTTCAAGTATGTTCATAATTGTTAACTGACATACTTTCAGCACCTTTAAAATCTGTCAGGTAGTTCTCACATCTCTGTCACTTTAGTGTTGGCTTGTCCTGATTAAAATTTTTCATTCAGTTGGAGATCATCCTGGCTTTTTATATTATGAGTGATTTTGATTTGAAACCATTTTTATATTATATTATGAGATTGAATGTCATTGAAAACTCTTTACTTGGGCTTTTCATTAGTGAATCTTAATTGTACAAAATAATGGGTCTTGTTGTAAAATTTTCACGTATTTATGTTCTTTGTGCATATTCTCTCACCTCTTGTCTCCCTTCTCCCTCCCATCGGCCCACTTTTTCTTTCCAAATGATTCCCCGTTTTCTCACTATTTTCCTCTTAATCTAGATTTGAGAGAAAACATGTATTTGCCTTTCTAGTTCTGGTTTATTTTGCTTAACCCATTTTCCCGCAAATGATGTGATTTTATTTTTCTTGAATAATTTCACTGTGTATACATGCCACAGTTTATCTTCTAATGGGAACTGTGACAGTTTGAATGAGAACAGCCCCCATAGACTCATATATTTGAATACTTGGTCCCCTGTTGGTAGAACTGTTTGGAAAGAATTGGGCCTTATTGGAGGTGGGGTGGGGCTTTGAGATTTCCAAAGCCCGTGCCATTCCCAGGGAGCTCTCTCTGCCAGTGTGTATGGATCAAGATGTGAGCTCTCAGCTCCAGCACCATTCAAGCAAGCCTACTGCCATGCTCCCTGCCATGATGGTTATGGATTCTATCCCTCTGAAACTGGAAGCCCCAAATAAACTCTTTCTTCTGTAAGTTGCCTTGGTCATGGAACCTTATCACAGCAACAGAAAAGTAATTAAGACAGGCAACTGGACTACCTTTCTTTGGAGTGGAAAATACTGTCCTGTGGCTGCCAGGTCAGGGCAGAAGTCCAGGAACTCCTTAGGTCTACCAACAGCAGGCAAGGAGAATTACTTGAGTTTGATTTGAGGTCCATTAGGGAGGAATTGCTAAGCTTCATTTCTGAAATCCTTCCAGGAGTGCTGGAAGACCTCCCAATGGCTTCACAGAGTAGACATGTAGTCTCCTCACAAACCTTCTCCTGGCACAGGCAGGATGGACCCACGCGCTTTCTGTAGTGTTCAGCTGAAGCACAGTGGATGCTTGTGTAAGAGCTTGCCTTGCTAGGATTCATCTTCTTGCAAAGCTGAGCTTTCCTGGAGCTTGGTAGCTTCAGTTGGCCAGTTTTGTCAGCTTAGACTCATATGACAAAATAATGAAAACCCAGGAATTTACCATTCTAAAGGAAATTTGTGACCCGAAACTTCTGGCTAGTTTTGCATCTCTGCATCTTTCATTGGTGTGATTATGCATAATCTCTAGAGGTTTTAGCTTGAGTTTAGTGAAAACTACAGGGAGAACCATTCTACTCGGTCTCCCAAAAATGGAAGCCTCCCACTCAACTGTTCTTGTCATCTTAGAGATTAGGAGGGAGGGAGGGAGGGAGGGAGGGAGG